ATCTTGAGTGATCTTGTTATTATGCAGGTTATTCTTGGATCTTGCATTCATGAATGATCATGTAATCTTGAGGGATCTTGTCATCTTGTATGATTTTGCTCATTTTTCAGTGATCTAAGCAAGATTAACTAAGACAAGATAATGTAAGAACTTTCAGTTTTCAAGATCATGCCATATCTTTCTTTCAAAGTCATGATCATGCAAGACCTTATGGGAAATTTTTGTGATGGCTCTTAAAGGTGCTCTCTGTCATTGAGTGTGATGGACCTTCCAGGGTCTCTATTTGAATAGGGCTAAATCTTTGCTGTATGTCCCTCCTAATAGTGATGCAAGTGTGAATGTGCTTCCTTTTGAAATTCCTGTGACTCAGGAGGGCTTTGTCTTATTAGGTGCACCAATAGGATCTGATAGTTTTTGCAGTTTTTATGCTATGAAGAGAGTGGATAAGATTAAGGGTATAATTTCTCTATTCCCAGATTTGGGTGACTCTCAGGTGGAATTTGCTCTTCTACGTTCTTGCCTCTCATTACCTAAGTTTGTTTTTCTTTTACGTACTTGTCCCTTGCCAGTTATTCAGGATGCTATCACTGCTTTTGATGGTGTGATTAGGTTGGCTGTATCTGAGATTATTGGAGCTCCTTTGTCTAGTTGGTCATGGCTTAAAGCTACACTCCCTATTTCTCTTGGAGGTATTGGTATTCGCAAGGGCGTAGCTAGCATAAGGCTAGGGTAGGCTATAGCCTACCCTAAAGTTCAGAACTCAGAATTGAAGTTTAGTAGTTTACCTATATTGAGTTTCTGCCTTATCTTTAAGTTTTTTGAATGCTCACCTTAGTTACCTATGACCAAATATTAAAGAAGTTCAGCGTAGCTGTCTCAACTAGCAGTTACTCACTCAGCCACTTTTGAAACAGGAGAAAGCAGCCATTTTAGTATTAACTTAAGGTGTAGTCTTTACATAATTAACTTAATTAATTAGCTAGCTTAATAAAAAGTTAACTACAATAACTAGTTAAGTAATGTCATCTGCAAAGAAACAAAAACTTCTAACTTCATTCTTTAGGTAACATTTGTCAATTTTTAATGCAAATTTTAGAAGTATATTAGTAGTCAATCCCAGCCATGTATTTGTACTGAAGTTGAGCATGAGGAGATTGAAGATGATGATCTAGTAAATGATGATGT